TCATACATTAATCGATTGTGAGCACTTGTTGATTTTTCGCACAACAACTATGCAATTCACACTTTTACATAATAACAAGATCTGTATATTTATATGGACATGTCTGGGGCTGTAGCATAGGCTGGATCCTAAGATGACTGCTTAGAAATTTCTATAAGCATACCAGATTTCACGTGGAAACTTAATAGTCTGAAGTCCTGGCAGCTGAAGTTGCATAGCGTAATTATGGACCGAACGTGTAAATTATTCACAACGTAAACTATCACATTGCAGAAAGTGGAAACATTTTGCTCAAGAATATACTTGTGTATGACTAATACCAAAAACAACAATAAGCTACTATTCCAGTGAAAGTATGTCGACTCAGTCTCACAGACTCGCACACTGCTGCCTGCCCTAGATTTGCTACTTAGCAAACAAGTGGCTTTATATACATATATAGTAAATCTACTCTAGCGAACACTTCTCAGAGGTATTTCCACAGAGAAAAGAATTTCCATTTGTAAAAAGAGCGGCTAAATCAGGAATGGATTGGCCTCACTGGGGTTGACCCCAATCCCCGATACATTTTACGTTGTAACGTTGAAAAATCAATATGTACGTTTTATGTTTGTATTAAACGTTTACTTTGGTTTAAAAGATGAGCTATTTTCACAGAGTTGTTGCCTTGTAGGTCAAGGGACCTGGGACCTGGACGGAGCTAATTCATCATGAAGTTCGTACAATGGTCAGACCCTCTCTACCACACTTGTAAGTTGTAACGTATAACTATTAAAATTTTATACGTTTACATTCAACGTATTCTCTTTAACTAACATAACGTAATGTGTTTACCTTTTTACCTGAGGGCGGAGGGGCAGTATTTACGCAACGGGTCATTCTCCGAGTCTATTCAATCCACAAATACTTTGCACAACAACAATGCATAGCACAATACGTAGAATGCTAATCTAGCACTAGTTACAACCGGCGTATAAGAGGCATAAAATACCTTGACACCCATATATATAAGTTATATATACACATAGAAATATACACCTCAATACACACATATATATAATATATGATTTATATATATATATATATATATATATATATATATACTACTAGTACGTACA